AAGAGATGAGAATAACAGTACTAATGATAGTCTTGATTGCCATCCTGTTCTTAGCTGTGATAGCGATGATAACCGTTACTGCTAATTTACGGATTGGTGACGTATGTTTTTCGTATACATCTGCTTATAATTAAACATTAATAGACATACGGAAGGAATGAGATGGGACGGATGAGCCTGCCTGTTGGTGGTGATAATGGCGTAGATGAAGTAAAGGCAGAAGTGGTGATGTTGCTAGATGGATAGTATGCTTGAATCGTCGGGTGATTTTCTGGCTGATTTTTGATTTGGACGATTGCCTTCACTTAAATTTGGTGAATTCAGTTTCTGGTAGAGTAGGTAAAGCTGATACAGATCACTTTTCGAACATGTTATGGTACGGACTCGAGAAATGATCTGAATTACTTGAGTTCCGTGCAATCACTGCAAACTTTTTTTTAGCTAGGAATAAAGCGCTTTAGTGAAATAGAAGAGATTCCTGTTAGCAAAACAGAAATCACAAAAGAATGAGGAATTTTGAATTGTTTGAGTTGACATCGTATACTTCGCTTGTCTTCGAAATGTTTGAAGAGTGAAAAATTGGTGGATGCATTAGCACAATGGGCTACTGTTACTGCTGCTGCTTCTGCCGCCGCTGCTATGATAGCATTTTGCGTGAAGCCTTTTGCCACGATGAAATCAATTCCAAAAGTAGTAAGAGGACAGTGAAATAATTACTTCATTCAAGTAAACAATAGATGCATTCAGCGGATCCATGTGCCATCTTCCGATGCTCCTTTGTCCTTTCTCTTTCCCGTCCAGCAATACATGTGTCGACGCTACAACCCAACAAAGGTTATTTAATAACAGGTGGCCTTCAGCTTTCAGTCTCCAGCCACCATCCACGAGTGCTCTCTTCATGTGATTTTCCTTTTTTCGCTCTCCCACTCTCGCTTTCTCTTACTCATTTGCAATAAATGTCCAAAATTTTTAGAAATATTGTGAATGAGTGATAGTGGTAGTAGATTTAATGGTAATGTCGGTGACGATAAAAAGGGGCAGGTGGGTTCGAGCTGGCGGTGTTGCCCTCCTCACCTCCTGCTATTCCAACATCAGCAAATTTCACTAAATTGTAATCCTATCTGTATGTGTGTATGTATGTATGTATGTATGTATGGTGTATAATTTGAGACGTATTGATATCACCGTCGTCACTGATGGCTATCAGAATTAGGGACTTATGTCCAGTTTGAGTTTGAGCTGGCCGCTCTGACGTCGTCCTCTTTCTTTTTGTATAGCTGCTGCGGTGGCAGTAGCCTTTCTAATTGCTTTTTCAGCGTGAATTTTGCACAAAATAATTTTCATTGAGCTAACTCGCAAGAATGCCGGATACCGGATAATTTCGGTATATTTGCAGCATTCGTAAGACAACGACTAACGTGGAATCAATCATGAAGATTCTAGAAACATACTATATGATGCCGATTTTCTTTGGGCGCTCCTGTGTAGTTGATTAAAATTGTTACGGATTCCTACGTAAAATCTTCAGAATCAACGGTCCACCTGTACGTATTATATGCACTTCGAAAACTTTGCAGAACTTTTGCTGAAACTTTTCGCTGTGTCGTTTCATTATTTAAGAATAACCTTTGTAAGCGTTCTCTTAAGGCAGTTTTCTTTACTAATCGATCATTGTACATGTCAAGACAGAGTACCGCCGCCGCACTTGTCTGGGCAACTGAAGGTTTCCCCTCCTACAAAAGGTAAATATTCCCATCTGCAACGATAAACGTCAAATTTTGTTTATCATCTTAGTGCCAGACGTATAGGAAGTGTCATTCTGTTTGCCAAGGAATTTCCGATCCTTAGCGCTACCAAATAAGGCACTCACGTTTCACTATGTGTCGTGAAAAACAATTCGTCGCACTTCTGCATCTTTGGGTTCAATTATTCGTGACGTTTCATATTTTGTTTCTGAGTATATGAAGGGTTTTTGTACTTTTATAATAACTGACTGGCCTTCCCTACACCCTTTCCATTATCACGGCTGTAAAAACCCTGGCCCATGCATGCTACTGTGTGAAGGTGCAAGGTGAGGCGCAATATTTGGTGACATTTTATGTGAACGATAATAAAAATGCAGACTACGCATAGCGTAGTTTGCCAACAGTCTTCCGCTTTTCTAAATTAAATTGGAATCATGTTGGAGGCAAAGAATCAAAAATGATGGATCTCATTTCCTCCATATTTTAAGCATCTACATTTCTCTCCGGCTTATCTCGACAAGAAATTAATCTTTTTGAATGGTGACGATATTAAGTACATATTTGTTGAACTGATCTAAATTCACATATGATGGATTATAAAAAAGCTATTAAGTACATATTTGTTGAACTGATCTAAATTCACATATGATGGATTATAAAAAAGCCATCTTGTAACGCAAGATATACCGAAATATTGTTATATAACCGTGTTAAGCCATTTTATTTATTTCTCTTTGGTGATATAGCCTATGATTTCAATACTTATTTCTCTATTTTTATTCTTAAATCACTTTTTAAGAGATTTTGGTAAGTATTATTGCTTTCTTTAGGACATGGGCGATCAGGCACAACAGAATTTTCTGGCCTTGCTAGCCGCGCAAGCAGCTACACAAAACAATATGCCCATGAATTTACTTTTTCCAAATTTAAATTTTGGTATGACGAACACAGTCGACATGATGTTTTGGAATATGGCACATTTGTCGCAACCGGGATTGCTGTTGCAACAACAACAACAGCAACCACAAGAATCATTTGAAGAAGTGCTAAGAAGGATGGCCACTGCAAGTGCAAGATCAGCTAATATCGTTGCTGGTATGTTCTCGTGCTATAATTTTAACCAGAAACAAAGTGATTCAGATTTAAACGTTTCAGACAATGCAACTGTGATTTGATTGAATTAAATTCATTGCAAGTAAAGCTTATAATTGCTTGAAAGTTTGATTGTCACAGTGAATTTCGATTTTGAACGATTAAATGGATACATTATTTAACATGAATCTTCATTCCAGTTTATCTTTTCAGATAGACAACAAACGAATCGGGGTACTGATAATGCAGATAACAACGAATTGACGCTGCGAGCAACTGGACATTTTGTTGCTGACATAGCTTCTACTTCTTCTACGAATGTTGGCATCCTGACCTCTGTTCCGGATTCTCCAACAAAAGGTTTGGAACCGGGTGAAATACCGAAGCGGAGGTAGGGTTTGTTTAAATTTAGATTTTTTTCCGTTATAATTGTTATGATTGTTTATTTTAGTGGGCTTTCTCAAAAGTATCCCTAGAGAAAAATGAAAATTCCGAATTTGATTACCAAACAAACTTATCTTTGAATTGAGCGAGAATTTACGGACTTTCGTTTTTTTCAGGGATAGCAATAGAACGAGAAATGGTATGTCTTCGCAATTATCACCTTCGTCGTCATCATCATCTTCATCAGTTGGAGGAGTATCGTTGAATTCAAATCTTTTAGAAGCATCAGCACGCTGCTATGCTGCACTTGCAGCTACAGCTTCGCAACAACATCAGCAACACAGTGAGCTTATTGCTGCCGTGTTGCAAAGTGCTGCTAATTATGAAAGAGCTAGAGCCCGAGTTGCAACTACTAGCACTGTCACAACTGCTTGTCCCAGTGGTAGCAGTAGTAGTAATAGTACTCATATATTGAAGAGGACTGCATTGACTCATCAGCATGCCAGCAGTGGCTTAAGGCAAGCTCAATTTTAATGTTTGTTGCTTGTGAATAGTCAAAAATTGATTACTGTTCCGTGTAAAACGTACGAGATGTCTGTTTAAAACTATTTCTCATGAAAAAATCAGTTAGGGGAACGAAATTTTACGCTTATCATTGTTAGCTTTTTTTGCAGTACATGCCGAAAAGAGGAAGGCCTTCGATCATGTGCAGTATCTACAAAAATTTCTTCGCACGAATCAGTGCTGACATCACCATCATCGGCTAGACTTACTGATTCGCCTTTGGATTTATCGTTTCACAAACCAAGAAATGGTACAACAGGGGAGCGTGGTCGTATTTTTAGTGAACACACCAGCGGAGCGGATTCCGATGGTTCAAGAAAGCGTACACAAGCTGATGCCTCTTTAATACGAATACCACTGAAATCTGGGTTTCTTTGACTTGTTGAATGAATATCTATTCGTTCACTTAATATTTTTTACTATGCAAATAGTAATAAAAAGCAAATTACGCGTTCAATTACCTCCTTTTTTTTACATTATTTCATCTTTATGCACTTCCAAACGAATGTTAGAGCTATTCCACTCCCTACTTTTGCTTACTGTTTACGACATCTCAGGAGACTCTTTAAGTGCTAATTGATGTTTAAAAACTGGTTTTTTCACCAAAAGATG